CAATTAATCTTGTTGGTTGACCATAGTTCTGTCCCACCTCATACCCATCTTGTGAGTTCCCATGTTTTCCCCATCTTAGATCTGCCTCACTTTGTGGTTTTACTCTATAAAGTTCTAGAAAAGACAGTCCTTGGCAACTCACTTGGGATCCCTTCTGTCTCTCTCAGACGGAAGCTTTCTTTGTCTCAATAAATATATTCTTCTCTTAACCTACGTTGTTCCTAAAATTAATTTTTCTATTTTAGAGAACACGAACTCGTACCAGACATCCAGTAGGTTGGGAGTTATATTCCCCCGTATCAGTAGCTATCACTATTAAAATATCTACCTTAAGGCTGTTTTTATGTCTCTCATGCTTAAGCAGCCCTCAACATGCATTTATTTTTGTTTGCTCATCCATGCAACAACTTCCAAGTTGTTTCCAACAAAGACTCAGAAAGTACTTCAAATCCAACAGATTCCCCTAATTCAGTGGCAAAAGGATTTGTACATTTAATTAAAATCTCAACACTCAGGGCAAGATCTACTTGGAACTAAGATATTTGTTCTCTTAGGTCATCAGAAAAGAATAATCAGATAAGAGCAAATTGGAAAGGGCAGTAAAACACCAGGCAGCACCCTTCAGAAAAACCATAAGCAATATGGAGAGGGCCAGTGACCTCCACAACACACCTGTCTGAAAGAAAACAGAAACATGCAAGAGATTAAAAAAAAAAAAAAAAAAAAAAAAAAACCTCCAGCCACTAACCCTGGGAAAATAAGCTCAGGAGAGGTAAATACAGAAGAGAACCAGTGCAGCAATCATGCAATATTAGCCACAACATCAGCGGACATAAAGAAATACCTTCATGACCTCATAGATGAACTTATAACTGACGTTCTAATCCAAGTGAGGCAAGATATAAAAAGATTAATTAAAGAAACGCTAAGGCCCTCCCAAGAAAACACAAATGGAAGAACAGAGGAACCCAGAAAAGGAAGAGAAACCTTTGATGAAGAATATAAACAAAACCTACAATACATAAAACAGATCCAAAGAGATTACAGGAAACTAAAAACTCCATTGAAAGCTGGCAAAATGCCTTGAAGAAACTAAAATTAGCCTTTTGAAACTTGAAGAGAGATTTATAATGTGTGATTGTGAAAGAAAAGATCTCTTAAAAATAACAAGGAACTGGGAAGAAACAATTCAAAGGCTAGATGACAAGAAGATCTATAACTTAAGAATAAAAAACGTGAACAAAGAAGCAGGAGTGAATTACAAAGAAGCAAATGAATTACAAAGACTATTCACAGAAATAATTAAGGAGAACTTCCCAACCATAGGAAAAAGAAATGATATCCAGATAAATGAGGCATACAGAACTCCAGCCACCTACAACCAAAACAGATCTACATCCAGACATATAATAATCAAGATCCCAGAAATCCACCATAAGAACAGAATGTTAGAAGCTGCCAGAGAAAGGAAGCAGATTGCCTACAAAGGAAAAATCATCAAAATAATGACAGACTTATCAACACAAACTCTCAAATCGAGAAGAGCCTGGCAGGAAATAGTCCAAGCCCTGAAAGAAAATAACCTCCAACCCAGATTGATATACCCAGAAAAACTCTCTCTCAAAATTAATGGAGAAATAAGATATTTTCAAGACAAGGAGGAACTGTGAGAGTTCATGGCCACCAATCCAACCCTACAAAAAATCCTGAAGGACACTCCAGAGAAAGAGAGAAAAAAAAGAAAAATACTAGCATTCTAGCAACAGGGCAGAGAGGACTCAATGAACAGGGCAGACAGTGGAGTGAAGGGGTAACGTGGACAAATAATAGCAGAAAAACAGAATAGCAGAGATGAGGCAGAGAAAGTGGGCTATAATCTTTAATATAGATAGCCTTGATACACTAACAAAAAGAAACACAGGCAGAGTAGATTAGGAGGCAAGATCCACTGAGATGCTCCGAATGGGAAATATGCTCAACCTGAAAGAGGGTGAATAAACTGAAAGTGAAAGATGAGAAAGCGATGCTCTATGTGACAGTAAACTAGAGAGAAATCGGGACAACTTGTCCAGCAGCTGCAAATAGGTTGGAAAGTAATGACACTTTTGTGCAGTGGAGAGCTACTCAGCTATAAGGCAGGAAAACCTGTGGCTTTAGTAAGTAAAGGAATACAGCTCAAGATCAAGCTCAGACGTAAAAAGGTTTAGCACCACTAAGATAGATAACAGGTTGTCCCCCTAATCTAAAGACTAAAGGAGTTAGTGGGACCCAAAATATACAAAGCACCCTGAAAAAGGGAAAGGGGAGGAACTGCCTAAAAAAGGAAGGCAGAGGACATTATTAATAGTGTATCAGGATTTAAAAACCACATTAGTCTTATCGCTCTGTTAAGTTTGATTATATTTTGTTCCGGTCTGCCTACTCATACTAGATTTGAGGGCACAGACAGCTATGGGAAAAATAGCAGGCTATACTATGGTAAATATCCTTCATTTCCTATTAACTTAAACTGAAACCCTGTATTACTTACATTGTCTTACTATGACTAATCTTATTTGAAGCTGGTTTGTTAGACCGCTGTTTTGCCTTGACTGTTTTTATTCGAATTGGTATGCTTGATAGTATTGAGTCTAAGAGTAGAGGCAACTACTCTGAAGATGACAAGATGTAAAAGATTCCAGTTTGATTATTAACTGCTTTCGAAGTCCTACAAAGTCTCCAAAGTTGTGTTTTTATTAAAATAGCTATGTAATGCTATGTTCAATTATATTATATCTGATGATGTAAACAATTCTATTGAAAATAACAAGGGAAAGCATAGTAACTACTGTAGATCACCTAATATTGTGGTCATACATGTCTTTTTCATTTCATGTTTTTCTAGGAATTCGTCCTTGTACAGTGGTCTTATATGTCTTTTTCATTTCATGTGTGTATAGGAGTATGTTTTGTTTTGTCTTGCTTTGTTTTGTTCCTCCCTCTAATATAAAAAGGATAGAAATACATGTTAGGACTCATGCATGCGTAGAACCAATAAACAGTTTATGAGAACTGATCTTATGACAGATGATGAAATGAATAAATACTTTGAAGAAAAAGAGACACTACAGTACCCAGTGCTGAACCAGGAGTATCATAATGTGAAACCCAGCAATACTCTTATTCTTTGCTCAGAGTGATTTTTTTTGTTGAACAGAACTGGCTGCAGTCTCGCTGTTTGAAGCCCCACTTTATATGCTCTACTTTTGTATCTTTGAATAACTATTTAATCAACTGGTGATTTCTTACTGTTTATTCTTTCTTTGAAAGTATGTATTATTTTCTACTCATTTTCTCTTTTGTTTAATCTTTCTTTAAATAAAAAAACTTTTTTAAATAAAATTAAAAAAAAAAAAGGAAAGGGAGGGAAAGGTGAAAACTACAAAAAATAAAGTATATATAACATCTTAAGCAACTGAATAATAAATCATATGAAAAATAACCACAGTGTTAATTTATATTTAGAATCAACTTTACCATGATCTTTCCTGTACTGACACATTAAAAAATGCTTATTCATTAAAAGGGAAAGCAAGCCAAAAAAACTGGAAATAACTATTAATTTAATAACTTAAAGTTGAGTCTGCTATTGAAGTAGATGCCACTAGAATTTTATTACTACTTTCAGGATTCTCAATAACATCATTTATAACCCTCTGAATAAGTTTATGTGCTTCAAAGAAAAAAATGCAGTGAATTTTAAAAAAACACTAAATTCCTTTCTAAACACTAATATAACAGTTTCTAGAATATTAATGGTCAATTCCAAGCATAAGTCAAAACTAGATTAACAAGAAAAATAATTTATGCAACTAAAGTGATTGCATGTATTAATCCAAGCAGATTACAAACTAAAAATCCTTTATAACTACAATATCCCCCTTATAGCTTATAAACAAAATTTAAGTACATATTTCAAGGGCTCAAAATACACTAAGAAATCATTTAAAATAAAAAAAACTTCTTAAACTTAAGTTCTAGAAATTGATAATCATAATAAATATTAAAATTATAATAGAAATTTTTAAAATAAGTTAAAATTTCATGTTTGTGTCTTTATGTCAGGAATTTCACCAGCCAGGACTTTAGTTTAGCGGCACAAGCGCCTGCTTGGCAGGCACAAGGTCGTGAGTTCAATCCCCAGTACCAAAAAGGAAAGAAAAATTTCATGTTTTGTTCAATCTTTTGATTTGCAGTCAATCCAAATTACATAGTTAATTTTTTGAATTAACACACATTTTGTTAAAAAGCCAGTATATATGGATAATCTTTAAAATTTTTTAGTATTTGAGAAAGTATACTCATTTTTCAAAAGGTTATATTAGGTATTTTAAGCAATGTTTTTTCCTAAACCACATTAGGTAACATTTCAACACCAGTGCTTTGCTATGGTATACCTCTAAATATACTAGAGTATTCACATTAATTCTCTAAACAGTGAGTAAACAGTGGTGGCATGAAAAACTACGCTCATGAAAAACCTACTGTAAGTCAAATACACTTTCACACAATATTGAAGAATCATGCTTATTTTTATAAAATATATACATAATTAAAAGCAAACATCTACAATTCCAATATATTAATACATATATCCAAATATGCACAATAGAAATTAATAGGTGAAAAGATTTCCTTAAATTAACTTAATATAAAAGTCTTTTAAAAAACTTAATTTGAGGACAATTTTTATACCAGAAGATAATAATTTAGTTGTGAACTAAAATAAATCTGACCATTTAATATGACCTATGCTGAGCAATCTTAGAACCAAAACAGCTATTCATATGATTCCTCTAAGTACAAGACTGAGCACTTAAAATGCAAAATATGTATTACTATCAAAACTGATCATATATTAACATAATCAAAATTTGAAAAAACATCAAAAAACCACTTTGCCTGCATATGCTTTCACAGCTTACACGAACAGATTTTTAAAATTTAACAATTCAACTTACTTAAACAAGACCTTTTGCCAGCTGTGCTTGCACCACCAGAACACAAATTGCCTCCTCTATGAATCAATTCAAGTTCCAAATTGGTTCTGCAAGTAAAGAATTAAAACATATCTCAGTCATTAGGCTGAAAAGATCCTTTTTAGTTTATTTTATTGTTATGGCTGAATTCCAACTTTATTATTTGTAAAAGCAGTTTATGCAATATCAGTAATAATCGTATTTTATCTGATATTTAAAAATGAAAAGAACAAATTTATCCATCCTTACTTGTATGTTCGTATTTGTACCTGCAAAAAAGTTGCACACATCATCATGTCATTGTTGCAAAGTCTCAGCTGTAGACAAATAACTAAAAACTAGGCCTTAGGAAAAAACTGCAACATATTTAATATTAATAAATCTGCATATGAATCTGATGAAAGAATTTGTACTCCAATGTCAACCACTGAGTAGGTAGGTACTGTCATACAAAACATAAGAGCATATCAATTTTCCTAACAGAGAAATGGTTATCACTCTTGGAGCTTAGATGGCATTTGGAAATAAATAGTAAGAAACAAAATCACTAACATCAAAGTCGCTATGAACAAAGTATAATAACAGCGCTCTGTACAAACTTCTAAAATTACATTTTTATTAAAATACAGTATTTATTGACATTGGTAAACATCAGTATGTTCATAGAATCTGAAATTGCAAGTTATGTAATTATTATTAACCGAATAGCAATAATTAGTGAACTGACATTTCAAAACTCAAATTAATACAGAAATCTAAAGATTTACTAAAAAGAGTAAAAAAACAAATTATGCCAAAATAATAAAGTTCTGGATTATAATTTGTGTTTTACTTCACCAGTATTTACAAGCCATTTTTCTACAACCAAAACTCAATTAACTGGTTTATAGCAAAGACATGTATTTGTCATTAATAATGAGATATCTTCCCCTTTTTAAAAAAAAGCTAACTTTCAAGTTTATTCTTTTCAAATAAATACAAGTGATTGTATCTTATTTAAAACAAAACATTTAAAATTGATTTTTCTTATATTTTGAACACAGAATGTTTTGAAATGATATTTGCATATATATTTACTTACAAACTGTATTAATATTCCTAAATCTGCACATGGCCACCCATTTCTAAAGGGATGCTTTAATCCTTTCTCTTGGGGAAGAGAAGCAATTAACACTGCTAATGTTCCCGCTCAGAGCTCCATCTGGCTGCTGCTGATAAGGCCTCTATGTGACCAGGGATTTTCCACCCTTCAGCGATTTGCATTGCTCACTGAACTTCTAAAAACCTACCAGCAAGGAAGCAGGGACAAGGATTTCATACTAGTGGACAGAAAGCGAACGGAGACCAGCATGTGTTCCTTCATCAAGGGAATAGAAATGAGATCAATACATTTTGTTTTCACAAATCTTCTGTTGCCTAATCTGTAGAAAAAAATTAATGGCTATATTCTCTTATAAAAACTAAGATTTCCTAGATAGTACTTTTAAATGTGCTAACCGAAAACATGAACAATTCTTAAGAATGAATGTTAGAAACAGAATGTCAATTTTTATTTCACCATGTTTGCAAAAATATTCACTAAAATATAAGAACAATTCTGTTTATTCAATCACCAAACATATACTTTAGAGAATAGCAAATATGTTACTAGGAATTTCATTTTAGAGGATACTTAAAACTACTAATTCTAACTTATTCAGATTATTTCAGATTAATTTGGAAGATCTCCTGTCCTGCACAAAACTCCTTCTGTATTAAAAACACTAACTACCTAACCAAAGTGTTAATATGTAATACTATCTAGGACTGTAAAAAAATCAGTATCAGAGAACCTTTCCATCAACATGTTCTTACTTCATTTACAACACAGAAAATGGTCACATGCTCCATGTCTATCACCCATGACAGTTTTTTGTTTGGGGTTTTTGTTTATTTGTGCAGAACTAGGAATTGAACCCAGGCCCTTCCCACTGGCCTGAGCTGCCCAGGTTGGGATCAAACTTGCACTCCTCTTGCCTCAGTCTCCCAATATAATGGGATTCACAAGCACGGGCTACCACACTTTGGCACCCCTCACTGTTGAAAATCACAATACAGGGGGCTGGGGATTTAGCTCAGCAGCATAAGCACCTGCCTTGCAAGCAGGCAGTGGTGAGTTCGATCCCCAGTACCGATAAAAAGATTAAAAAAAAAAAAGAAAATCACAATACAATACTCTGTTTCTCTTTCTGAATGTATAATGCAAAAATTAAAGTATGTTGGGAATGAGTTTCTCCTGCACTTTTTGTTCTCGAAGAAAAGTATATGTTCTATTTTATACACTTTCTAACACAAATATATTCAAATTAGTTTAGAACTGTGGCACACGCCGGTAATCCCAGGACTCAGGTGGCTGAAACAGGCGGATTACTGCAAGTTTGTGGTCAGCCTGAGCTACATAATGAGTTCAAGACCAGCCTGTACTACAAAGTAAGAGCCTGCCTCAAAAAAAAAAAATAATAATAATAATAATAATAATAATAATTGGTTTGGAACAAAAAGAGAAAAATCTCTTGATAGTAAAAAAACTGATGAGAAAAACTGCTAAAAAGTCTATCACAGTGGCCACGTAAATATACTGTATATCCTCATAAAAACCCTCTAACTACACTCTCAATTTCTTTTTGCATGACCAAGGTGTGCCTTCTATCTCCTTCAGCACTGTTATTTTTAGAGGCAAAATATGAAAACAAATGTTGTTTCCCTCCTCCCACCTCTTTTTAGCTCTAACTCACACTGATATAGTGAAAGGGGTAAAGGCTCTGAAAAAAGATCTGGGTTCAAGCCCTGAACGTACTACCTTACTGTTGAACAAGAAGCTCAATTTCAAGGTAGATTGGAAACTACTTTCATCCATAGCACTGCCTCTGTTAACCTAAAAGTTGGAGCTTATATTCTGGCTCTTCCAGGAATGCTTCCTAAGACGGAAAAGAAGCAATTGCATACATTTTATTTTTTAATTTGGTTATCTTCGTTTTTGAAGTTCTACAACTTTTCCCCAGACAATTTAAAAAGCATTATATTCTGTTTTATACAGTGGCCTTAGTTTCCTATCTCCAACCAAGTTGCAAATTTCTGGAAAACAAAGATTCCTTCATATACGCCTTTGAAATCCTCAATAGTACCTAGCAAAGTATTTTTAAAAATTACAGGAAAGATAACTTCTTTACTTTCACATGTAACTAAGTGTAAACTTCTCCTCAGTCCCTGTGGCTTATAATCTTCATTTTGCTGAGCTTTATACTCCTTAAACCCAGCAGTGAGCCCCTGCCAAAAAAGACTTTAGAAGAGTATATTTTTAAAAAGAATAGCAAGCATTCTTTTTATTTGGCTTACAAAGTTTAGACTCACAATACAACTAATTTGAGAAGGTAGGTGCATTCACCTACTAAGTACTTTCACACTCTTGATTTAAAGATGCCCATCCATCTAAATCTCATATACTCATGTGCTATCTTTCCATTTCCATTTTTCTCACAAAATAAAGGCTAAATGCTACTCACCAATGTCTCTAGGCTATACACAACTTGGGTCCAAAAATCCTTGGAAAAATCAATTACTGAAATTTATGTCATTCTTTGTGTCTATAATTAATGAATTGGTATTGAAGTGAAGAAAACTTTCTCCCCCAGAATTAACTTTCCATAATCCATTTGAATGACATATTTGCAACAGAATGGAAATTTTGGAAAAACATTAAAACTTGAATAAGTGATTTTGATTAATTTTTAAATTAATTTTAAAAAGATATTCCAGCAATTTTTCTCTGTTGCCCTCAGAAAATCTTCCAAAGCTTCTCCATGTAAACAAATATGTATTGCCCTTCTGAAAAAATGAAATCTCAAAAGATTTACTAAAGAAATAGCTTTCCAGGCTGGTTAGCCACCAGAAATATTTTGTTTCCAGACATCAAAAATTCAAGCTCCCTGAAGAACAAACAAATTTATTTCTTTTAAGGGAAGAAAATTAGTTCTATGAAACTAGAATTTTATTCCATTCAAATTACAAAAGCCAAATACAAATAAATCTGCAAATTTTGAAGGATTATATATTTAAGAATTACATTTAATTCAAAATTTAAATAATTCGAAGTAAGTTTGTTGTTAAATATTTTACTTAAATACTGAAATACTGCTAAAATGTTAATTGCCATCTTTTTAGGAATAAATTTTTCTGTGGGTCATAAATACCTAAGAAATAGTTAAATGTTAGACTTAAGATAATTTCTACTTTCTCTCAAGACAAGTATATCTTACCTAAAGATATACTTGTTAATCAATTTGTTTGTTGCCTCTTTTCATTGTAACCATCAAGTAAAACTTAAAGAGAGGGCACTGCAACCTCACTGTGAGATCTTTGCAATTAACTAGACAATTCCAACCAATTAACTAGATAATTCCAACCAACAGTCAGGATTGTTTCAAAATCATTGTCTTGCTGTATTAGAGCTTATCATTAGCAATTAGAGAAGCGGAGAGGTTAATACATAGTTTTTGTTTCTCTAATCTGTATACTCTTAGTAAACAGCATATGCCATCTATCCCTGATTCTCTATAAAGAAGAAAAACCAAAATATGTTGATCTAAGGGGTCTCATATTATCATGACAAACTGTATTTTGTATTTCTTTACAGTTAAGGCAAGAAATAAGGGTCTAGAATGTCAAACTATGGCATATTTAAATATAATTATCATACTATAGAAAAATTTCAAGCATAGATCATTTCCACTCAATCTTCAATCAGAATTTTCTTTAAAAGGTCAGTTTTAACAATGCAAAGACATAAATATATGAGCAACATAAATGTGTATATTATATATGTATATGTTAAACATAACTGAGTTGTTCTACATTCAACCCAATCTTCTATGTTATAATTACAATATTGTACCAAAATTTTGCGTAAATCTGTAATTTTAGTGAAGTTGAATTACATTCAGTTGAATTTTTATACAAGTACCATATATGTTATTACGAGTATGCAATAACTGGTAACTCTCCAGAAACAAAACAAGAACTATCCTATCCTCTCGCTAAGCATTCAGAAAAAACAAAAGTCTAGAAATACGCAAATGAGTAAATCACTTTCCAATGTATTAGATCCTTTTAGAGCAACCCTTATCTAGCATTGCATACTCAAAGACTAGTATTCCTTATCTTGAGTTTTAGCTTGTTTGTTACAAGTTTTCTAAGTTGGACTCCATTTTCCCTGGGTTCTATTTACTCTGTTGTTATTCTCTGCTCTGAAGCATGAGGCAGAGAAAATGTTCTGTGTGCATAATATGACCTTTATAATAGCTGCACAAAGAGAAGGAAAAAAAAAGAATAATTGAAAAAACACTAAACCTTGACTCCAAGTTTTAATCCTCTTCCACCATGATCTTGCTGCAAACATATCTCAAAACATATTCTCTCTCACACTCTTACCTCTTACATTGTTATTTGGACAACACATGAGGTTTGTTCTCAGAGATACTCAGGGGCCTACGACACCCTACAAGCTGCTCCCCTACTTACTTCTTTTATGATTCTATTTTCACTCAATTAAATTCTCTAAAATTCCCATATAAATCTATTCTATGTGTTTAATACCTACTCAGACTAATCTTTCCTAATCTGAGAGATAAGAAACCCAGAGTTACTGTTTTCTTGATCTCCTATTCATGTCAATACTTAGGCCATGCCTGGTCTCTTGCTTCCTTCTTCTTAATTGGTTTCCTAAGCTACCTGTCAGCTATCATTATATAACTAGATCTCTCATTAGGTTAAAGGAAACAAAGAATGCAGTTCTACTTCTTACTGGGTTTTTTTCTATAAATTAAAAATTGTTTAACACATTACATTCACATTACGTTTTAGATCTTAATATTCTCACTTTTTGACAGGACTTCATCTACAATACTCCTATGCTTTAAAGTGCCAATCCATCCCAAAATATTAATAATATACTTTTCCCCAAATGTTCTATAATGCTAAATAGTACTTCTCTAAATATTCCATTAAAGTATAAAAACTCTTCAGGAAATACAGGAAAAGTACAAGTTTACAGTCTTAAGAAATCATATTTTCAACCAATATTAAAAATATATATCCTATCTTTAAATAAGTGGTAATAAAAAGATTCACTGTACAGTAAAACCAATAATTAGTAATAAGTAAATACAAAAATATATATTTCATATACCTACCTAGCAACAGAGTACATAAAAAGAAAATCATTGTCTGGTGAGCCCGGAGTCTTGCTATAGTCTCTGTATTTCTTCTGAGTTGTATTTTTTATATCTTTCATTACAGACTCCATTTCCTTACTTAAGTTGGTTTCTGACTATAAAAAATGCAAAAATATACATAAAGTTTATATTCATTTTCTTTATTAACAGCCTAAAATATTTATCATGTGAATATACTAGAAAGTTAAAGTCAGAGGTCAAAATAAATGTTAACTATCCACTGTAAGTACATTTAGTGCACAAAAGATAAAACCAGTGAAAAATACATTCTTTTATAATCTTTTATTCTAAGTCTACATTGTGATAATACTAAAATCCAGCTACAAATTAACCACATACTATATTCTAAGCCAACAGATTGTCATTAAAATATTTCATAACAGTTTTCATGGTTTCATGGTTTTTCAATGAAAAAACTTCCATTTAAATTAATTTTTTTTCACTTTTTTTTTTTTTTTTTTTTTTTTTGTCTTTTTCTTTTTTATCGGTACCGGGGATCGAACTCACAACTGCCTGCTTGCAAGGCAGGCGCTTATGCCACTGATTAAATTAATTTTTAAAGAGTAATGCCAGTGTCCCTTAAACATATTTTTATCTGAAAAGTGAATTTATAAAAATTTTAATAGCTTTATTAGGATGTGTTCGCAGTATACAATTTTAGTATATATGCTGCTAAAGCAAACACAGCAATACACAATGTTTACATTCTTTGTGTGGAATTGGTACACATATGTAACACATTTTAAGCAAATAAAATACAAAATTTACAAAAAGAAAAAAATCATAGATTCTAAATTAGTCTTTACTTAGGAATACAAATTGTCAGAAGATGAATCTTTCGAGTAGGTTTAATGTATGAATTTCTGTTTCAGAAGTCAAATATTCATGGTTTTTTAAAATTTACTCCATAAAGGAGGCACCACTGTCACTTCTCAGAGACCTATCATAAATCTAGTGAAAGAGAAACCCAAATGAATCCTACTAGATGAGACAAAAAACAGATTCACTTATACCAAACTCCTAGTAAAGTAGAATGACTTACGGTGAATAGCCACACAATACATTTTTCTAATACACACCTAGCAAATACACAAATATATGTATGTGTAAATCTATCACCATGATTTTAATGCACTTAATCCAGATATTTTTAAAGTGATGACATTGTGCTTTACACTGCAATGTATATTCATGCATTGCATTTAGTCAGCAAGAGGTCACATATACCATGGTGGTCCCTTAAGATTTTGGCATATCGTGACTATCTTAGTTTCCATAGGTACACCCTATGATATTCATGCAGAGACAAAATGACCTACTGACATAATTATTTTCAGAATGCTTCCCCATCACTAAGCTACTTGTCTACATATACAGTATGTTTGGCTTTGTTCTTAAATATTTAATCTTGCAAGAACCTAACAATATCTAAACTCATAGGATTTCATGATCTTCCAGATGTATATTAAAACTATAATGATTTACACTAAGGAAAAGTATAATGTTACAGTTCATATCTGTGTCTCCCAAGAATCTCATGTGCTCATTGGCAGGGCTTTTGGAAGATGACTGGATTATGGGACTTATAGCTGACTTGCTGCTAGGAGATGAGAGCTGGTCAGAAGAGGTGGTCAGTGGGAGCAAGAACTAAAAGGGTTTATCTCCCTCCCCAGCTCCTCTTTCAGTCTCTCTGCTTCCTTTCTGCCATGCCCTGAGCAGCTCTCCTCCACCATGTCCCTCTACCATGCAAGCCTGGCTGATCACACAAAGAAAAACTTCTAAATCAGGAGCCTTTAAGTTTTAGGTGTAAGGCATTTTGTCTTAGCAACTAGGACATCTCTGATAATATCTTCTATTATTTTTATTTTTTTAATATCCAAAATCAGAAGAAACCTTTAATTTCTACTCAATGTATACAAGTCCAGAGAATTTAGATCCTGAAAGAAAATGAAAGGCTGAAAAGCAGAGATGAATTTGTGAGGATATTTTTGTCTTACACTGATGCTTACTGGGAAAGCTCCCGGCCGTCCCTGCAGCTCCTCCACTTCCTTTATGAGGTCTTTTATGCTTTTGTTATTAGGACGCTGCCAAAGGTTATTTTCCACATTGCTCCCAGGATAACAAGGAAGAACACTGTTAGCAAACTGTCTACAGAGAGGACAGGTGAATTCTCCTTTGTCCACCGAGAAGCCCTGAAGAACCTGGTCATTCTAAAAGATGAAATAAACATACAGCTATATAATGCACACATTTATAGAAAACAAAAAATTATATTCTATACATTATAAGAAACTAATGAGCCATGCAAAGACATTTCTAAAATACAACATAAAGAAACAAAATCTCTCATTTAACTAGTGAAGCTTACCAGACCACTTTTCACTTGATAGCTATGTACACACACCCTCTCAAAAGAAATGCCTAAGTATCTCACTCTGGTCTCTGGATGATCCACTCAAATTTAATGATACAGTCAGTCTGAGATGTGGATTTAATATCTTTTTAAAAATACAGCCCACATTAAAATGGGTCACCTTCCTCTTCTTCCACACCAATATTTTGATAAATCCATAAGAGACAACTAGGAAGATTATCCCAGTGTTCATGTTCTTTGACGCAGGTTAGATAGCTTTTAAAAGTACACTAAAGCCTTTTAAAAAGTATAAGGAGCTAACTACTAAAAACTGAACAACTAAATGCTCCCTGTATCTTGAATCTTAAGTACATTAACTAAACAAACTGAATTCTTTTATTTTTTACTTTTCCTAGTTAACTTTTAAGATACACATACAATGTATCTTCATGCATCTAGATTCTATGAACACAGCTTCTATGTATCAAATGTGCTGAATAAAAACATAAACAGCTAAAGGTAACATTTTCTCTTAAGGTATTCAAAAATTTTAAAAGAAAATTAAACAAATAAAACATAGTGTGATATATGCAACATAGAAGGCATTCCAGAAAAAAGAGTTTTGACTTAAGTTTTTAAGGTACGTAGAGTACACTACAAGGTTGAAGCAATGGTCCTGGTCACAGAACAACACTCGGTAACAGGTTCACATATACCTTTAAATCCAAAGAATGCTAACACTTGTTGCTTGCTGTATTGAAAAGAAGCTTCTCCTGAAGTTTCCCCTGAAGCCCTCTTATTTCCCTCTAACATGCCTCACACCTCCGCATCATCATCTCCAGGGCTAGCTTTAGATTATTACTCTGCCTTTCTCTTGTCTGTGGCTTATATCATATAGTGATACTGTCTTTTTCCTTCCACTTCATTATCCACTCATCACTCACGATTTTGGTATCTAGATCAGTTTTCCTGCAAGTCTTGTCATCCTCCTCTGCAATTCAATAGTATTTAAGTGCAACTAAACTTACACCCTAGGCCCTTAACTCCTTGACCCCACCAGCTCCTATTACTTTGATCTCCAAAGTACTCTACCATGTAACCATGGCTACAGCCTTGTCCAACAATAAGCCTAAATTTGTCCACATGTGAAATATTAAATTTAAACATTTTATATTCTGACTGTCAACTCTTACCCATTATTTCCTTCTTTTTTTTCCTAGTTTATCAGGATTGTCCTATCCTGCCTATACACTATGATCTACCACTTCAAATATTCTTGACAATATTTCCCATTCCTATCATTCATACTAAAACCTTTATAAAAATTAAATTATACCTTCTCCAATTTTACACTCAAACTAAGTGCTGTTAAAAGAGAAATGAAATACCATCCTGCTACAAATTCTTTCCAACTTTAACTGCGCCTGAAGCAATCTTTCCTCAACATCCTAGGAACATCTCTCTCACCAAATTCCAAAGTGATATATGTAAACCACTTCCTCTTTGTCAGTCTCTTAACCCCCTCCCTTCCACCCCACTAGGTGTAAGAACATAAGGGTACTCCTACCTTAGAGGAGACAGTCATGGCAGTCCCTTAGCTTCTTGCTTTCTCCTATTATACACAATTAATTAATCCCATCAATTAAGTACACAATTAATTAAGCCCATCAATTCTTCTATCCACTCCTTTGCTCAACTTTCTTAACTAGTCTCCCAAATATAATACATTATGATCTAAAATATCTAACCTCAAATGTGAGACTGTTATTCCAAGTAAAATTTATTCAGTGATCAGCAACAGCTCTTATGTTGATTCCTTCCTTCCTTTCATGCACTATATCAAATCTCTCACTCATCCAGGAGACTATTCTCCTAAACATAGACCTCCTCTCCATCTCTACTGTCACAACCAAGTCCAAGCCCCATCATCTCTTACTTCCTAAATGATACTGCCACATTCTTTCTTATTCCCCTGGAATTCCCTTCCTATATAACTGTTACAATGGACACTTTAAATTTCTACTTAGCTTTTAATGGCTTTCTCTAAAATATTTATACAAAGTCCAAATTCTTTATGCAGATCAAAGGCTGTTCACAACTTGGCCCGAATTACTTTTCCAGTCCACCTCTCATCACTCAAATACGTTACTTCATCAAATGTTCTGGCATCTAACAGACATTCCAGTAAGACTCCGTGTCACCTCATAACATTTAGCACATATAATGCCAACTGTTTGCTTATCTACAAAAGACATAATAAACTCTTTAAGGAAAAAAAATCTGTGCCTATTCACTGTTGGATTCTCAATGACTATGGTAGTATCAAGAACTCTGTGGACACTGAACAAATAATTGAAGAATAAATAACTGAAAATAGGCGTGTAAGAATGCATAACACACTTGAGAAACTACTAGTTTATTAATTCTGAATGATAAAAGTTAAAACAACAAGCAAGCCCAGATCATACAGCACCTGAATGCCACTGAGAGAAGAGTAAAATTTATCCTCTTAGAAGCAAGCAACAAATTTTTAAGCCAATGTCATATGTCATCAGATTTATATTTAGGAAGATTGATATAGTGAATAAATTAGACTTGAAGTAAGGAAATCAGTAAGAAAGTAATTATAATAACCAAGATGAGAAATGAAGGGCACACACACAAAAGTAGCAGTGGAAATAATAAACAAAGAATATAATCAAGTGGAATTCAGAAGATAGAACCAATAGAATTTTGGTCAGTAACTGAATGGAAGAGGTGAGGATTAGAAAGGGAAAAAGATGAATGTTTCCAAGTTAGGAATCTAGTAATACAGTAGACCTGTTTTTACAGTACGTGTTTTTACGAACTTGAGCCCAAGAGAAAGTGAAGACTTCAGTCACAAAGGAGTGCAAGATCAAGAGAATTCCAAACAGGATAGCCTTGATCATCTTTATGAACTGATAGAAGGGATAGAAGAGATATTTTCCAGTCCACCTCTCATTATCTTACAAAATAAGATACAGAAGAAAAAGAGGCTACATACTGATAGCTCGAAACCCTTGAAAAGCTGGGATGAAAGAAATCCTAAAGTGCAGATAGAAGTTATGCATGAATAGAAGAAGTTATTCATAAACAGAATCCTCCATGAGCAGAAAAGAATGAATGAATTGGGTCATTTATTAGGGAATTTTAAATACAAAGTAGTAAGCTAATAGAGCATGTGACAAAGAAACACTGCTTTCTTGGTGACATAAGACAAAATATGACAAAAAGGGATGTTGAAGTTTAGGAGAGTTTTGGATGGAAGACGCAGAGGTTTGGAATAGCTGCGAGAATAATTATAGAAGGAACTTATAAAAGACAGGTAAAAGAAATTTATGTGTGCGCTTAAATTCCATGACCCTGGTATAAGCCACAATTATAGGAAATCACAAATCTGTGATAACAATTCACTGAATGTTATGATTTTTCTAGTAGGCCAGCTGTCTGGGTCTAAAACTAAATTAGGAAGAAAATTAAATGGTTGTGAAAGGAGAACAAGAAATCATACAAGAAAGTAAGGCTTGCAAGAAGCTAATACTCTAGGAAAAATGCAGAGGTTAAAAAATACTAATGAAAGGGAAAATAACAATTTGAGGAATCATCATATAATAAGGTAACACAGTAGGAAATCAAAGCTAAATTATTTCAGAGCTAGAGTAACAAAGTCTGTTACAGCATGGAAGTCAAGTGAGATACAAAATGAAAATCTTTCACGGTACAGAGGTGGAACTGACATGTACATGCTATAAAAAGATTTAATATCTAGAAAAATATACCTTTAAAATTTTTTCCACTCAACTTACCCGTAATGATTCCATATAAGATTTATGACAATCTATATGTAAGGTGTGGCCACAGGTTTGTACATAAACACCTCCTTCCCAGCCAATTGATACTGCCAAAAGACAAGAACTCTTAAAAAAAAAAAAAAAAAAGACAAACTACAATTAATTTCAAAGAAATATAAACATATTTCCCTATGAGCCCATTAACCCTACATGAGTTCATATTACCATACTAATGTGGCATCTGTAGTATTGGAAATACTAGTATAGAAAATACACCTGACTAGACACACTGTGAAGCTTTAGTTCCCAAATGTCTATATTCATAATGAAAGAGAATAATCATGAACTAGCCTCTCTCCATCCCATAAAGTATCATTTTTATAGGGTACTATTATTTTACATATTTTGTTGGGTACTTAATCTCTCTGTGACATCTGACATTAACAATTTCCTTTCTAAAATGTCTGTTTTCCTCTGGCTTATGTTACTGTCTGTTGATTTTCTACCTTTTTTCTCTTGGCCTCCTTCCCAGACCTTTCTATCTTTACCTGCCCCTTCAATATTTATACTCCTTGAGCTCTAATCCCTTTACTACTCTTTTCTCATTAGAACTATTCTCCTAAAGAATTTAATTAGTAATTTCAACTGCCCTACAAACCTTGGATATCTTGCCTAAGTGTTTTATCAAACCTCAAACACAAAACCAGTGTCAAAAATTGGTCATCTTCTCCATGAATCAATCTTTCTCTTGCTTAAATATATCACAATTTAGTTACCACATCAGAGAGCTAAGAGGCACTCCTTCCCTTAAACTATGAATCCTATTTTAAAAGCTTAAGATTTTTCAAGTACTTTCCTGGAATTTTATCACATGTTGTCTGTCAAAAGGCTTTTGGGCATGAATGTGAATTTACCCTCCAGAATCTGCAACCAAATAGGTGTAGTCCCCAAACCAATAAAAAACACAAGGTCTAACGTAAGTGACAGCATATGATGAAAGATTTGAGAGCAATCAAATAATCAAAGCATGTTCTCATATGCTTAAAAAACTAAGTGAACTTTTAAACTTTATTTTTACATTGTAGATAAATTTATATCAGATGACCAAATAATCTTCAAATGATGGTGAACAAAGTTCCAGTATTAAATCAAGACTTCATGAGTATCTAAAAGCTGAAAACATTACACAGTACAAAATGTCTTCTCAGTCAATTTAAACACATGCAGCAGCATAAATCAAATGTTCACAACAGGTGAGCAAAGTTCTAATATTACAAATAAAAAAAAAAAAACAGATCTGCTCCTCTCTGTTTTATGTTTTAGAGCCTCTTGAAATAGCAGCAGATTTGGGTATTTGATCATTTTAGAACACCTGGTAACCAGTTAGTAAGCGAGCTGCTCTTTGGCACTGTACTATAAAAAGGTAAAGAATCTTTGTTTTCAACAAAAATGGTTAGCTTTTAAAACTGAAAACACTGATCACTTTCTATACAACTGATAGCTATGACATCTGAGTTTGCTAGAGTTAAAAATGTAGAAAAAGTACCACTAATAAGAGGATAATATTTTAGAAAGCCTTCAACTACATATCTGCAAAGCACTGTGTTAAGTGCTTGTAACATTGACTCTTGACAACCTCAATACTTACTAAAATCTTATAAAGTAGGTGGTGCCAGCCATTTTCAAAAGAAAATGAAATTTTCACCAAAATCAAGAAGTTGTAAGTGGTAGCATCCAAATAGAAATCCAAGTCTACCTGACTCCAAACTTCAGGTTCCTTCCCTCTACAGTGTTACATATCCTCAAAATTCCCAGTTTCTTCTGTAAATGTACTGTACTACATAACTAAAATTTTACTATGTTACATAACTAAAATTGTCAACTCTGTAAAAACACCACTTTATATTTCTATTGGCCTGTCACACATGCAACATTATGTTAAGGAACTTGTGATATGGTAGATTCTAAAAGAAAGATCAATCTAAATCCTGTACAGATGAGGAAACAGGCTTCAAATGATTATGGGATTTAGCCAAATTCACACACCTCAGAAACAGCTGAATCAGAATCAAACCCCATTTCTTCTGGTCCAGAACTAAATTCTACTCAATACCTGCTTAACTAGAACCATAAATTCCTCCAGGAGTCACCACAAACCTTTTCCTGAGTCTGTGTATTATGGGTCTTACCATCTTTAGGTCAGTTACTGTTTATTAAGAATTCTATCTTCCACCAACCTTAGTAGTTTCTTCCATTTAAATTAGTAGGATTATAGGCAAGAAAGAAGTTCTATTTTAAAATCTTTCAAGATAGCCATCTCATATAATTAAGTGAAAATAATGCTTTACTATATTTTAAGTGTTTTAAACTCATGTCATTTACTTAATTCAAAATACAGTACATTCAAAAAAAACAATAAGAGGGTAGGTAACTCCATTTGATAATCCGCTCAAGAAACTTCAAAATTTTACATCAAAAAAATTTTTTTAAAAGTTAATGCTGCTGATACTAAATAAAATTTCTCAAGGCTTGAGACACTTCTGAGTAACACAGCTTTTAGGTGCAAAAAGCTAGGGGAAAAGAATCTATATATCAAAGTCACAAGAAGCTAGAAGACACAAATCATATCCAATCCTCTTTCACATTTAAAAGTATCATAATAAACTTTTATTGTATATCTTTAAATAAAAAGACAAAATTTTTCTGAAAATATTCATGTTGTATCTAAAGAATTTTAGAATTAATGTTTATTATTCCACTGAATTGAATATACTTCACAAGCATTTAAAACACACGTGTCACATTTATTGCTTGAAATTTTTAATTAACAAATTTCTATTTCATTATCGTATTTTTTTTCTAGTAAATTCCAGATTTTAAATCACAATGATATTCTGTTAAAATAAGAAAATATGGGACCGGAATTTAGCTCAGTGGTGTAAGCACCTGCCCAGCAAGCACAAGGTTGTCAGTTCAATCCCCAGTCCCAAAAAAGAAAAAAAAGAAAATGTAAAATAAAACTCTAGAGGAAAATAAAACCATCAACCTTGCAGTCAAAAATATTATTCAATAAGAAGAGTACTTACATCCTTAAAATAACGCTGTAACAATGAAAGCCTCACATCATGCACTGCTGCACATGTGTCCCAAGGGTAAATCTGTTCTTCTTCAGTGACTGGCAACTTTTTTGGCTCAACATTATCACGGCACTGTCCTAAAACTACATTAACAACAAACAAGATCTGATTCACCAAGAAAAGTCAGGTTATTTACCACAAATTACACTAAATTTCCCACTATTCAACTATTCTACAGATTTTTTTAATGAGTGGCATTTTAGTTTTCTTCTACAGAGTAAATAAAGTTTCAAATACATCAATATTTACTTTTTAAAATAACAGAAAAATATGAGTTTTGAACCCATGACAAATGAGCAGATGTACAATTTTCTAAGTATGTCTGCTGCAAAAACCTGAAAGGTATGATTTTCTCATTCTCAGCAAACTTCATTCCTAAAGATAATATTTTAACACACACAAAAAAGCAGAGATTCTTGGAAAGCAAGCAGAGTTCAGGGTTGGGGAAAAGCACAACATGAGCTTAGAACTGTGTGTGATGAAAAACAAGAAAGTGGGGCTCAGGGTTTAGCTCAGCGGCATAAGCGCCTGCCTTGCAAGTGTGCAGTCGTGAGTTCGATCCCCAGTACCAATAAAAAGGAAAAAGACAAAAAAAAAAAAAAAACAAGGAAGTGTTCAAATACTGAAGAGACAGTATCATGAAGACATGAAGGAGTTCAGAGAGACCAAATGTGAGAAAATGGAGTATCAGAAAAATGATGACTGACAACATATTAATTCAAGTAAGAAATTAAATCAAGTAAAAACGTAAAAGGATAAACAGGTAGAGCCTCAATGCATCATTCCATGGACTATCTACTATCTTAACCAGATGATCAAATTTGGTTGGTATCACCAAGAATGGGACAAACTGACACTATGAACTTCCTAATATGATACCTGGGAATGAACATCACATATGTAATTACTCACCAAAAATATCTAACTTGAATCTAACAATAAGAAAATAATCATACAAATTCAGATGCTAAGACATTTTGTGGATAACCAACCTAGACTCTGAAATTTTTAAAAAGGAGAATACTGTTTGAAAATTAAAGGAAATTAACAAGAATGACAACTTTTTTTAAAAACACACAATATTTTCTGGGTTCTTAAATCAAAACAAAAATACCTGCTATAAAAAATATTACATGCTCTCCCTATAAAGAAATTCACATAGGTGAGATGATAGGTATGTTAGCTTGACTTACTTATTCCACGATGTATTCATGTATGAAAACATCATATTGTACTACATGTATGTATATATATATATATATATATATATATAGTTATTATTTACCATATAAAAAAAGAAACACATGCAAAATAAATTTGGACAACTGAGAAAAACTGAAAAATGAATATTAGATGTTATTAAACATACTGAGTATGATAATAGCACTGTGATGATGTGAAAGAATATCCTTAGCCTTCAGAGATACATACATTCTAAGATGATTTTCTTCTGTGTGTGTGTGTGCACGCGTGTGTGTGTGTGTAACTGACTGCACAAAAGAAAAAACAAACATAGCAATATGGTAACAACTGGTAAGACATTCAACATTTCTATACACATAAAAGTTCAAAATGAAAAATTGGGAAAAGAAGTACAGAGCAAAATATACCAATGAGTTTTAACAGTTTGTATGTTTCTAAGAAATCATTCATTTTATTTAGGTCACATAATTGTTAGCATAAAATCGTTCATTGTATTTTCCTCTAATTGATTTTATTTCTGTGAAGTCTATAGTAATGCCTCCAGTTTGAGTTCTGACTTTAATTATTTGCAGCTTATTTTCTTGTCAGTCTAGCTAAAGCTTTGTCATTTTTGTTTATATTTTCAAGAAACACTTTTTGGTTTCATTGATCCTCTCTATTTTGTTTATCTCAGATCTATAACCTTTAATATTTATTTCCCTCTTGGAGCCTTAAGGTGCCTCATCTTTTTCTATTTTTTTAAAGAGAAAAATAATTACTGATTTGAGATCTTTTTTTATGTAAACATTTATAGCTATCAATTTCTTTGGGTTTTGTTTTGGTAATTATGTTTTCATTTTCATTTCTGTCCAGGTATTTCTTCACTTCACCTATCATTTCATCTCTGAATCAACGATTATTTTAAGAGTACATGGGATCTCCCCTCTTTCACCCCAGCTACTTGGGAGCAGAGGCGAGAGAATAACAAGTTCAAGTCCAACATGAGTTAATCTAACAAAATCTTGTCGAAAACAATGTTAAAAATTTAAAAGGGCCCATGGATGAGGCTCCATGGTAGGGCAGGCTTACTTATCATGCACAAGGCTCTGGGTTTCATTCCCAAAACAAAACAAAACCAAATAAGCAGCTAGTAAGAGTGTGGGGGTAGGGTTGTTTATCTGCATACTCAATTGAACCTAGGCTCTTGCATATCTTAGACAAGCACTCTTACTAGTAAGCTACATCCTTTCCCCACTTCCTGCTTTTTTTTCTTTTAAGACAGGATCTCACTAAATTGCCAGACTGGCCTTGAACTTGCAATCTTTCTGTCTCAGTCTCCCAAAGTGCTGAGATTATAGGTTTGTGTTAGCATACCCATTTAGTATGCTATTCAATTTCCACATACTTGTAAATTTTCCACTTTTCTATCTATTCTTGATTTGTTTATTCCACTATGATCAGAAAAGATTCTTTGAATTATTTTCATCTTTTTAAATTGAGACTTGTTTTTGATGGTATACCTTAAAAAAATACTCTATGTGCAATTAAAAATGTATATGCTATTATTTTTTAGTGTAGTGTCCTATATGAATTTGGTAGGTGTGGGAGTTTTGTTATGTTTTGTTTGTACTGGAGTTTAAAACCAGGAATTCACTGACCTACACTCCCAGTTTCTTCTTAAATTTGGTTTTGAGACAGGGTCTCATAAAGTTGTCCAGACTAGCCTCAAATGTGATCTTCTTCTCAGTTTCCTGAGTAGCAGTAATTAAGAGGCATGAGCCATCACTTCTGATGAGAACTAATTATTTTATAGTATTGCTCAATTGTTCAGTGGTCCTTTTAGTCTATTGTCTAGCTGTTTTGTCCACTGTCTCCAAATATTACTGTAAAACTAGTTATTTCTACATTCGTTTCTGCCAATTTTTGTTCCAAACATTTGGGGACTTTGTTGTTCAATAATTTATAACTGCTATATCTTCTTGATGGATTGACTTATCAATATATAATTCCTTCTTTGTCTTTTATAATTTATAATTTTTCATCTAAAGACTATTTTATCTTGTATTAGTAGTTATGCTAGCTTTCTTTTGGTTAGTATTTACATGGAATATCTTTCCATCTTTTCTTTTTCAACCTATTTTTGTAACTTTAGACATAAAGTAAACGTCTTTAGACCACACATACTGTGATCACTTCTTTTAAATCCATTCCATCAATCTGCCTTTTACCTGGACAATTTAATGCATTACATTTCAAGTAATTACTGATGAGAAAAGATTTAATTCTACTATGTTGCTATTTGTTTTTTATATGCTCCTTTAATTCAGCCATCAGTACTTCCTTTATATTAAATTTTCTAGTATGTCATTTTAATTTCCTCTTATTTTTGTGGACTACTGGGGGGGTTGCATTTTTTTCTTATAGGATACTCTTAAGAATTACAGTGAACATCAACACTTTGTAACAATCAAGTTTGAACTAACATCTGCTTGGTTTTAATAATATACAAGGTGTGGTGGCACATGCCTGTAATCCTAGCACTCAGAAGGCTGAGGCAGCACAAGTTCAAGGTCAGCCTGAGATACATACTGGGTTTATGGTCAGCTTTGAACTGCATAGTGAGACCCTGTCTCAAAAAAAAAAAGCTAAAACTTTAAGATCAAGTGTAAGTGCGTGCATGTCATCAGGAGCCTGATGGAGGAAGATTGCCACAAGTTCAGGTCAGCCTGCGCTCTGTGTTAAGTTCAAGGCCAGCCTAGACTGCTTGGCAAAATCTTATCCAAATAACAGTAATAACAACAACAATAACAATATACAAAAACTCTACTTTTTTGCATCCTCCTTTCCTGTCACCTACCCCTTTATGTTTTTATCTGAAAGCTTTTACTTTTTAACAAACAGGAACATGGATATTTGGCTTAAAAATCTAAATATGTAATTCTTTCCACATTTCATTTCTGCATAAAAACTTCTATTGGTAAATGATTAAAACCATTAGGACTAGACTGTATGAGACCACTACTTCAAAATACTTCAGTATGGGAGAGGATAGAAATTGGTCAGAAAAATGTTTCAAATATTTAAAATCCTTTTAAAATGATAGCTTGGAAATCATATGAATCCACAGGCTGTTTAAAGAATTACTGGCCCCCACCAGTTCAAGAAATAAGAGTACAGCTGCCTAAATATATCATGTATAATCACACTATTAAAACTGACAATATCTAAAGATTTAAAATAATTAAATTACCAAGACAGCTAAACTCTACTACTGGCCACCTAGTACTGATAATATACTATCACACTTTACAAAAACAACTGTAAAACATATAACTCTGTTAAGACTTTCTTCTAATATTCATGGGCAGGAAAGTGAGATAAAAGATAAAACCAATAAAAAAAAACAATCTATGCTATTTGGGCCTAAATCAAACAATCTATATTTATAACTAGATAAGGTCGTAACTTTCATTTAATATACTTATTCATCCTTTGTATATGCTTGGTTCTAAAATATTCCCACTGAAAAATTACTTTAAGCATACCTGAGGATGCTTGTAATAGTACAACCAGCCCAGTAGGTCGGTCTTCAGAGGAAGGGCCGCTCTGTCCACATATGACACAATCATATATTGCCTCAGAAACTTGTGGTTCTGCTGTGGTGATTTCCATAGGAATGTCATTCTCAGAAGAATCTGAAGGAAAAAAGTTACAACTCTTGAAATCCCATTTAAGTAAAAATGCAAAAAAAAAAAAAAAAAACCTTCAAATAATTTTAAACTTCAGTATCAATGAAGTTATATATTAATAAAACTATAAACCTAGCAAAGTAAAATATTTTTTAAAAACTTAAAAAACACAAAACAATGTGAACAGCTGACAGAAGAAAAGATGTCAAATAATACATAGTTAAATATACTTTTGATGCATCATTTACAAGTAAAGTTGAGAGGCAAAAACATTTGGATCAATAAGAAAAATATTTTAAGTAACATTTGCAGGAAAGAAGGGGAAGGTGGTTTGTCTTAATTTTCTTTGATGCACCAAAAAGAAGAAATGTACAGTAAGATGGAAGCCTGTGGGCAAAAAATGGTAGCAGACACTGGGGGATAAAAGAAAAAAAATTTCCTTACTCCCAATTCTAGTGATCATATCTCAGAAAAAATATTATTAATATGCCTATCACATAACAGAATCATTAGATATGACCATAACATATTAATAAAGCAAAGCTATTATAAAAAATAACTAAATCCTCTAGTGATAAAATGTCATTAGCAACAAGAAATGAAATCTTGAAACCAGCAGAGTGGTGCTGTCTATAATCCCAGTACTCTGGGAGGCAGGAGGAGAAGGTTACCACATCTGAGCCCAGCCTGGGCAACAGCAACTTGGTGAGACCCTGTCTCTAAATTTAAAAAGGGCTGGGAGTATAGCTCAGTATGAAAGCCTTGCGTTCAATCTCCAGTACTGAAAGGAAAGGAAAGAAAAGAAAAGAAAAATAGAGCAGAGAGGAAAGGAGAGGAGACAAGGGAGAAGAAATAAAATACTGAGACAACATAGTTTGTAGATAAACATACTGAAAATTGTAATGATCATGATGCTGCCCATACTGACCACGAAATGAATAGAGGGAATTGATGAGACTTGGGAAGCAGAAAAGTTTTGTAAGATGTTAAAAAGATGAAGGCATATCAAAAAAATATGTAAAAATACATCTAAGAAATAGAAAAACAAAGATGTCCTTTTGAGGTTTTATCTGAATTTATACAGATAAACATCCATCTGATATAAATTAAGATATATTAAATTATATCTGATATTTATCTGAGAGGAAAGCGGGCAAGAACCTAAAATAGATCTTTGAATAATGGCGAGTATTAGTAAAACAAAAAGAAGTCAAAAAAGAGAAAAGACAAAGGATAACATACTAATAGAACTAGGGCCAAAAAGCACAGTATCTATGTAAATAAAAATCAGTGGTCAAGACGAAAAGAAGACTTTAAAAGAAGGTACAAGAGATCACTAAAATTTGACATACAATTCCTTTGGACTTCAAGGGAAAAACTCACTAGAGGATAGGGAGGATGTGGCTCTCCACTCTTAAGTTCAAAGGAGAACACAGAACTACTTAACATTAGTATAGTGAAATAACTCAGTCTAAGTACCGAAGAAATAGAATTTCACTAGCCCTATCTCACACACAAAGATAGCTTGTTTGGTTGGTTGATTTTGGGTTTTTTGTTTTAATTTTTTTTTTCTTTAAAGAGAAAAAAACCAGTAAAAGGGTACAAGTAATACAGAATTTCAAAAAAATAAACAGTAAGAAATCACTAGTTAATAGATTATACATTGTCATCTTAGAAACAGTTGTTCAAGTTACAAAATTAAAGCATACAAAGTAGACATTCAAACAGTTCTGTTCAATGATCCAACAAAAACTTAGTAATCTGGTTTTCTATCTTACACACTTAAATATACATGTAGTTATATCCTTTAGATCACTTTCTTTTCCTCTCTTTTTTACAATAACAATTACACATGTTGGGTTTTATTACTCCCACAGTTATTACTTTTTTTTTTTGAAAAGAATAAAACCAAATGTGAAAAACAAAACAGAGTCAGTCAAAACAAAAGGATGGACATAGTACATAATGTAAAAACAGAATACAAGGTAATCAACAATGGTTACCATAATGCCTCTTGCTGTCTTAAAAAGAGTTGCCTATATCATCAGGTATAATAAAATTGAACAAAACAGTACAGAACAAAACCAATAAAACCTAAACATTGGAGACCTTACAGGACTTCAAAAGAAGGTAATAGTCAAACCAGAATGGGCATCATAGTGAATCTTATTGCCTTCAAAGTAGTTGCCTACATCCTCAAACTTGATACTATCAAACTAAACAGAACAGAGTAAAAATCAGTCAAAACAAGATGGTGAGAGAAATACAGGGGTTCAAATCAAGTTAATAGGAAAACAAAAAAGTTACTATAATATATCCTGCTGGTTTTTAATTTATTTTTCCCTTAATTAAAAAAATAATTAAAAAATAAATTAATTTTTAAAAAAAGGAAAAAAAGGGGAGACTGAGATAAAAGAGGACATAACAACATAACAACACAGGTCAGAACAGAACAATTTAAGCAACATAGTGCTTCACCACAAGATAACCTTACATAATAGTAGTTACCATAGTGTCTCTTTTCTTGAAATCTTTTGAGTATAGCTTTGTATACTATAGCATCAAACATATCAAGACAGTGTGAAACCATTCAAGAGAATGAAAGTATTACAGGGTATTTAGAACCAGCTAACAGAAAACGAACAATGGTTTTTATATTATCTCTTTGCCTATAAAAAATTTTGTTTATGCTATCACATATAATAAAATCCAGTAAGATACAATATGATAAAACCAATGGAGACAGAAGAACAACAGCTTGATGGGACTTCAAAACAAGATGATATTAAATCAGCACTAGCTATTATGATGTCTTGTTTTCTAAACAGCTGTTCAGACTATCACAGACAATAAAATCAAACAGCCCAGAATAAAACCATTCCAATTAATGAGTGAAAACATTAGAAGGCTTCAACCCAATATAATGGGGAATCATGATTACCACATACTTTTATGTATTCTTATCATTTCTTACACTAGGGAAACTATTCGGTATTTATACATGTGAGTTTGATTTATTTCACTTATGAATATGGTCTCAAGCTGCGCCCATTTATTTATAAATATCTCAATGTGACACTTCTTTATAGCTGAGTAGTACTCGATTGTGTAAAAATACCACAACTTTTTTATCTATTCCTCAGTTGATGGACACTTAGGTTGTTTCCAAGATCTGGCTATTACAAATTGTGCTGCTATAAACATGGGTGTACATATATCACTGTGGTATGATGTTTTCAGTTTTTCTGGGAATATGCCTGGGATATTGTGGAATAGCTGGGTCGAATGGGACTTCCAATCCCAACTTTTTGAGGAGTCTCCAGATTGATCTCCACAATGGTTGCACCAGTCTACAGTCCCACCAACAGTGCAAAAGAGTTCTTTTTTCCCCACAGCCTCTCCAGCATTTGTTGTTGGTAGTTTTCTTGATCCTGGTCATTCTTTCAGGAATGAGATGAAATCTCAGTGTTATTTTAATTTGCATTTCTCTAATGACTAATAATGATGAACATTTTTTCATGTATTTATTTGCCATTTGTATTTCTTCATCTGAGAATTGTGTATTCATCTCAGATGCCCATTTTTGGATTGGATCTTTAAATTTTGGGGGTCTGATTTTTTTTAAGAATTCTTTATATGTTTTAGACAGAAGTCCTTTGTCTGAGGGACAGTTCACTAAGATTTTTTCCTAGTTTGGGGGTTTTCTTTTCACTATGCTGGAGATTTCTTTTGACGCGCACAAACTTTTTAATACGACGTGATCCCATTTATTTTGCTGTGTTGTGTTTTGTTTTGTTTTTGGTAAATCTTATTGAGAGGAACTTTAAAACCTCAAGGAAACTTGAATACCAAGATGTTAACAGGTTGTTGCCACCTTTCCTAGGAATCTTTAAAAGAAAGGCTTAATAATCTGAGTAATACCGTGCTAACCACATGAAAATAAAAGATAACCTCTTTTTGTGTATCTTCATAAATTTGGCCTGTTATGGAATGTTTTGTCTACCATACAGTATAAAGAAATGTACATTTGTACCGATAGTATTTTGTGCTGTAATATTCCTTGAAAGATAAAACATACATGCATTACAGCTCCATCAATGAATCATTAAAACATTTATTGCAAAAGCTGGTAATACATTTAAAAAGCTGGTTTATACAGTGTCACTTCATTTGTAATGTGCTGCTGATAAATCGGTACTACTCTAAAAATCTGCAACTTATGACAACATAAATGTAAAGATAAATACTGAATTTTATATTGTTGTATCATTTTATAATACATAATTTTCAAAGTTCATGCTTCAACTAATTTATCTTGATCTTCTTTAATCCTTTGATTTCACTGGGAAATTGGTATACCTCAAGATCATCTATTGATTAAGTGAGCTAACATTCCCCAAAAAATAGTCAACAGCACTTTCTGAATAGAGATGTTCTATATTGTTACTAAAGCAATGTTCTAAGAAGCAATGTTATACATTAAATAAGACACACTATACACGTTAGTCATACATTTCACTATATATAAACCTTACATCAATATGAAAACAGTGCTAATAGAAGTTTTAAGGACACTTAGTAGCTAGCTAACCCAAAGCATCACTTTTAGAGATGTCAAATTCTCCAACTAGAAATTTTCAAATGCTTATCACTGTAACTAAATATTTATACTTTATTAGTTAATAAACATCCCAATTTAGTGGTTAGCAAAGAGTAAATATGTAGTGATATCTCAATTTTGGAAAATTTAGGTTGGCTGTTTACTGCTACATTTTTTTATAGCAGAATAAAAACAAACTGAAAATAACATGAATGTACAAAAACAAGATATCGTTGAGTAAATTATTTCACTATGGACTATTATAAAGTGTTCTTCCCTACCCCCAAACAAAGAAAAAGAAGGAAAAGAAGTTTAGAATAAAAAAATGGTCCTCAACCTGGGTTGGCTGCAAAATAAAATCAACTGAGATTTTCAAAAGATTCCTAAGCCTGAGTCCCACTTCCAG